TAAATGGATACCGTAAGAATTTCATTATAAAAATATCAAGACTCGAATCAAACTACCAGCAAAAAACCATCCTCAGAAAGCACAAGAAAACTTATCCTAGCATTTTTATAAGGAATGTTTCTGAAAATAGCGGCTAAAGTACTGTAACTATTCGAAACAGATATCGCACATAAACTAAAACAATCGCTCATTTCAAGAAATATGAAGAATAACGGACCTAACAGGAGAAGAACATAAGATCAACACCATCTATAAAATAAATTGCATGAACTGCTTGTAATAGGCCGCATATTAGTCAAAGTGGGTGTCCCCTTCAACATATGTTATTTCATATCAGTGCATGTAGACAACTATAAACACCAATTTGACTAAGAAAATGTGGAAATTTAAAATGGTTGGAAAACCAAAAATGCCGGGGAATTCTAAGAAGCCTAATAATCAGAGGAAACAACGATTAAAAGGCATAGTACTACAGATCAAATTTAACAATTAATTAAGAATAGGCCACATGACAAAAGAAGTCAAACTCCAACTGAATAAAAACGATCACTATTCAGACGAGTTAATAAATAATCACGATAAAGATTGTCAAGAGATGCAGTTATATTATTCGTGAACATAATTCATAATAACTTCACTCCATACCAATATATGTGTAAAACTTGGGCACTGCGGTAGTAAGTATGTCCATATTAGTTTGTTTATTAGGTGTATCACACAGTGAAACAGTATTATTATTTACTGGATGACAAGGTTTCGAACACAATTTATTCATTGTTCATAATCATATCATCAATTATAATCACACGACTTTGAAACTTGAGTTTTACAGTTTTCTTCGTCCTCTCCTATTTGTCGTCGTAGGGGTAGTAGAATTTTCCAGGTGTGCGGGTGGACAGGTGTTGAATCATTCCTATTACACGTGTTGGTTCGCAGTTGATTCGATAAACAAAGCTTCTGTTATCCATCTCTCCCTCCACCTTGTGATATTAGATTTTGAAACTGTCATCCTATCCCATCATCCTATTGTATGGTTGTATGGTAACTGCATGTAGTGAGTAGTATAGCTGAACTATTCTCTAGATTTCTTATCTTATTCGGGTCAACTAATCTAGATTTTGCTAGGTTTTTATGTTCGCCTAGTCTGACTGTCCCTGTTCTACTAATGTGACCTATGTATTTGACCTGAAAATCATTCCAGCAGGGTATTAGATAAACTAAATTGTTTTGTTTTGAAGGCTCCACAAGCAAGATCCTTTAACCGACAAAGCTTGTTTCTAATTGAATTTGTGGGTTTGAATACCAACCACTTTTATTCCTGCCTTGTTAAGAATTCTGTGTAAGGTTTCCGAGGTTCCTTCCTTGTATGGAATTACTACTGATGATTTAGATTCCTTATTGTTGGTGTCGTCATTAATATTATTATTATTATCACTATTACTACTGTCATCATTTATTTTATTGTTATATTTTCCTACATACATCCTGACTAATTTATCAGAGTAATTATCAAGTTTCACTCCATACCGATGAAGTTTTACACTGAAGATGCTGTCTAGAAAGACAATGAAACAATTCAGAATTAAATAAATGCAGCTCAGAAAGTACACCCCATTATCAAAATCATATTCACCTGAGTTATAAATCTTCTCTATTATTTTTTATCTGGTCAGTAGCATGATGAAGTGAGTTTTAACATACACTGTGTAAGGTAAATAATCCTGAATGCTAAAGGTAGAAACTCTGTAAACTAGCACATATAAAAGACACTAGTAATAAGACGAAACTTTTAAGGGCGCTTAAAAATATAATATGTATATATATTTGACATTCATCTAAAATCATCTTTATTTAATTAAGAACATTTAATGATAATCTAATCACCACAGGTAAATTCCCTTTTCGCTATTATAACTAACATTGTTGAAAGTGCTCCTTCATAGCTGGAAGTTCCTTTTCTAGGTTAGATAACTTCAAGATAGTGGACAATTACATAATACAAAACTATTATTTATTTTTTGTCTTCAAAGTTTCGAGAAATAATTTATCTAACTTTTTATCTTGTAAATGTTTGTTTATTTTTTGTTTTAGCTGAAAAACTTTGAAGTTAACTTATTTAGTGTTTTTTCCTTTTCATAAAAGGGAAGTAAACGCTTTATTTGATCATGAAATCTAAATTGGAACCTAGCAGCAGGGAAGGATACAAAAACAAAAGCAAAAAGGAAGGTAACTGCATGTGGAGATGGTTCAGTGTGCTTTATAACTCTACTGAGTATTATTACGTAATGACTTTTGTATAATAGAGGAAATACGCACTTTAGTTTGATAATATATAAATAAATAAAGCGAAATTCCTTTGATTGTAGATAAAATATTAGATAAACAAGTGTTTTATATTCTTATATTGCAGTAGTAATTCGTAATCTGTGCCAATAGATTGGACCACCTTTATTTTATAGCCTTATATACATATATAACCCAAATAGAAATATAAGTCTTTAAGATTCAGTTATACCAAATCTAATCAAAGAGAAAATAAGGCAATTCAGAGGAGGTAATTTTCTTTACCAAAAAAGTCATCTTCAAAGGCTACATAGTCATATTTATATCTATCAGAATGGATTTTTAAAAAATTCCTTTACTTTCCCGTGTGAAACATAGTGCTTCAGGCTAGAGGCTTGAAGTTTCGGTTAGCATTGGTGTTTGTTTTTACGGGATAGGGTTGCTAGCCTCCTCATGCCCAAACTTCCCTCTTTACCAGTCTTGTTACTGGCTTAGTAAGGTAAAGGAGTGTGTCGGCCAGGGATCAAATACCGGACCACATGAAGTGTAGTTGGCGAGCATTCCACCGCTGTGCCACCAACGCACTTATCATAATGCATAGCAGTCTAATATTGATTAATAGAGTTGTGTCATGTAATTGATATAATTAATGAAAAGCGATTACCAAAGGTAGAATGAAATTACTGGAGACCAGTTTGAAAATTATCTACAAAGTGAGGCCCAATGAGTGCGTTGGTGGTCCGGATTCCGAACCCCGGCCAGAAAACTCCTTAATCTCGCTTAGTCGGAAGTAAGTCTGACAGAGAAGGAAAGCTGGATGTGAAGTTAGCAAACTCATTCCGTAAAAGCAACACACCACTGCCACTGGAACTTCAAGACTCAAGCTTGAAGCCCTACGTTCCACTCGGAATGCACAGGAAAAAATACATGGGCCGAATGATACATTAGGTATTAGGTTTAAGCACTTGTATATGATGGGTGCGCTAGCCATTCATCAACTCAGCCTCGAATTCTGAAAGCAGATAAGATTTGTCAAGTATTTTATTTATATTGTATTAAGAAGTAAGTATGTGTTGCAACTTTGAAGTTAGTTTACCATCTCTACAGTTACCGCCTCTTAAGTTTGTTACGAGGTCAACCTGTAGTAAAATAAGCCTGACTGTTTTTCTATAATATTTTTATTAATAGTTATTTTATTAATGTCGTCTACAAGATGACATAAAGAGTGGTCTGTAACGCGGTATAGTCTTATACTGTAGAAAGTCAATAAAATGGGTAGGATCCGATCATTTCATCGGGGTTATGACGAATGGATTGCATAATAGTGGCGGTACATATAAAATTTTGAAATTTAGCTGATAACCACCCAGTAATGCTACTTATGGAACCTTTAAAGATACCTCTTTTGCAACGCAGGAGTTTTTGTTAACTTTGATATGTATATATGCCAGCAGCATCAGCTAATTTAGGGGGTTATATGCAGAAACAAAACTATGTCATATGTTAAGATAATAATAATATCATCTTAATTCTGAACAGTAATTGTAAAATGTACACAATTTTCAGAGGAGTTTATTGGATGATATTTTCCCTTCATAAAATATCTCCAAGTAAAATATGAATTGACAGTATATCCTATGACACAATGGTCTCTGAGCTGGTGAAGCACAAACCATTCCATTATGATATATCTGCTTTGTCTCCTTCAAGAAATCTACGATATCTAGTTGAAAGCCAGTTGTAAAACGTTCAGAAGTACATTTTGAGATCTAAGGATATAACTAAAGAACAGTTGTCTCATGTACTGGGATATTTTGCCACTCACAATCAGGCCATTCCTCAAGTTTACTAGGAACTTGCGAATCAGGAGCTTGTAAACATTTTAAATACCAATAGAGGTCATATCTCAGTCGATTTAAACAAACTGAACGAGAGAAAATACATGCAACAGAGGGATGGAAGTTTTTGCTGGCCCAAGCTTTAAGCAGACTGCCGCCTATTAAGAGTATACCAACAAGGGAAGAGCAACAATACACTAGGTGATATTATCTTTTCTGATGAGATAACTTTTGTGGATATTTCTGAGAATTAATCATACTTACAATTTTTTTAACAAAAGTATTTAGAGAAATGTTTTATAAAACTACATTAAAACTGTCTTAGTTGTTAGCTGGTTGGAGGCAATCGGGAGGATACCCTGACACATGTTAGCTACTACCCAATGTCCAATTAAAATAACTACCTTAGCTTTCTTATATATTGGATGACAGAATTTTAGCTTACCATACTAATTATTTCCCACCTACCCCAGACTCAGTGGAAGCACTTTAAGTGAGTTAACATTGATGAAAAAAGTTGTCAATTACAGTTTTTTGCTTACCAGGACTTAAAGCATGTTGCATATATGAGAGGTTAAGGTACTATACGGTTATCCACACTGAATTTAATACACTATGACTTAGACTTTATATCTCTTGAGTGAATATTACCTTATTCAGTCAACGTACTACACCCGCATTAATGAAACCGATAAATGTCACGAATGAAAATGGTGTACACAAATGATAAAACAAGTGATGAAATAAACTTTATAAAGAAAAGCCTAGGCGCCATACATCAATGCACTATATATTTACAACATGAGAATAAGTTGTCATTAAATATCAAAGTAATATTCAGAATTCATACTGAGCAATGTTATTAAGAAATAAACTTACCAACATAGTCTGGTGTTCCTGCTAGTTCACGATGTTGTTTCCCTTCAGTTAATACAGTTGCCAGGCCAAAGTCTGTTAGAAAGACATCAGTAGATGGATAAGGTTGACGTAACAGTACATTTTCAGCCTTAAACAGAAAAAAACAGAAACAACAGAAACATTCATCAGTATCCAAGGTATTTATACAACATAGTACTAATATAAGTGAAAACAATTATTAATAAGTATTTTCTTATCTAAATTTCATTGTTCACGAGAGATAGATATAAACTAAAAGTTGCCCAGATTTCAAAGTAACAAGAAAGTAATCTTCAGCAACACTTGTCTGTATATATTCACTATAAAAACAAAATAAAAATTAATTGAATTTTAGATTTTCCCGTTGAAATGCAGGTACATCCAGTAACGAGTCCCAAAACGGACGAAATGCGCATCCTGGATTCCACTGCTATTTACCATCCACCAATTAAATTCAAAATGAAAATTAGTTACAGGATTTCATCATGAGCTGACATCAGTTAGAGAACCACTGGAAAACCAACTGGGAGTACTGGACAGCTGTTTCATCAACCTAGTTTGGGACTCTTCATCAGTACGCATCCACTGCCAGTGTCTGAACCCAGGACCTTCTGGTTACAAGATGAACTAGCTCGCAGACCATTAAGCCACTGGGACCCAATCCAATGGCCAATGGTCCTCAAACCGATGTCAACTCATGATGAAATCCTCTAACCAATACTTGTAAACGAAAATTATTATGACAAATATCTATTTATTATGTGTACACTCTTATTTATGATGATGTTTTTTAACTATTAAATTATTATGAAGTAGAAATAACGACGTAGGTCTGTGACATTTGAGGTACCTTTAGTTCTAATCCATAAGGATGAACAGTCTGAAGCAAGATCAATGAGATCCTGGAACTTTCAGAAACGCAAAAGAAACTTGGGTCCAGTTAGCAACTGATTCTAATGGCTTGTTTGGCAGAAAATCAAGTCAATAAGCGAAAGGTTGTAAGTCCTAAGGCTATTATAATAGTTCGGTCGTTTATTTTTTCTTTAGTAGTAGAAGTTTTTAAAATTCTAACAATGGCTATTCCAATCACTCGCAGTCTGACGTAGGATTTAAACGAAATAAAGAAAGCCCTTAGTATTTAAATACTTTTTACATTCCAAGTGGAACATAGGGCTTCTAGCCTTGAGCTGCGGGGTTTCAGTAGCGGTGGTGATGGTGGTGGTGGTGTTATCACAGGTTGTGTCTGTTAACCCCCCACCGAACGTGCCCTCTTTAACGTGTTTGCAACCTACCAGGTAAGGCTATGGGGTGGGTCGGCTGGAAATCAGACACAAATCTGATGTGTAGTTGTGGGAGATTCTTCTACTTAACTAGTGACGTACATGCATGTCTAAGATCATACCACGTCCCTCTCCTAGCCTAATTCTACTCCAGCTAACTCATTTATTAAAGGTTGTCTGAGGTTCCACATGCCTTTGTACATGTGTATAACGCCTCAGTGAGTGAAAGAAATTCCATAATCTTGTCAGTCAGCTTCCTTGTCTTCCTTGTCTAATACTCATATTGTTTCACTGGGAGTTAGTTTTGATAAAGGTAGACTAGTGGAACAAATGATATAACCTAAGAATCTAGTCAATGGCTGCCAGTTAAAATCAAAGTATCTTATGTCATTACGTAATTTCACAAGGCATTCGCGTTCATTCTATCTGCATTCCTTTCATACTAATGTGGAGAATCACCTCTTGTTTTGGCCATGAAATATCAATTTTTCACTATCTAACTTTAATGAATAATTACTTAAGTGATTAACAATTTTACTTTTTATAAAAATATACATGTTACACCAAAAATAGGACATAACATGGGATAAATACTACGAATAATTATTTATACATTAACTAAACGCAAACACATTAAGATATGAAAGTATTTGCATAAAGATAACTTGTTAAATATTCTCGTCTAATTGTAAATAAACCAGTTCTATAATCTATTTATAACAAACTGATTATAGTGTTGATAAGATAAAGATCATTTTGGCTTTTTGTAGGGATTTGGAGAAATTTGGATCTAGATTTTATCACGAATTAACATCAGTTAGGGATCATGGAGCATTGAAGAGATGTTTTGTTCTAGTTCTGAACATTTCATAAGTGGACATCCACGACCCTACCGGAGATTTAACCCTGAAAATAATCCAAATCGCTACAAAAACACATAATTTAAATATGAGTTTCCAGCTCATTGACGCCTAATCGATGGATGCCTTGGAGCTGTAGTGAGAAGTACTGGCCAGAGGGATCTAACATGTCAAGATGAAGTGTATACTAATCGAAGACATTGGCTGAGGGTAGCTCTGTATCACGAATTCACAACAAATTCCCGGGAAACTAAATTCCATTCCCAGTGGCTGAATGGTCAACGGACTTGGTCTCTTAACTTTAATAATAATAATAATTTGCTTTATTCCAAAACAGTACTTGTGATACAGAATAGAGTTCTCAGCATTTTTACTGCAGTATTGCATTCAGTTAGTACATTATCAATAAATAGAATTCTACATAGATTAAGGAAATCTCAGTTCATTATGACAACAACATATTGGCATGTCGGTAGCAGAGCCAAAGCTTAACAGTGTTTGAAGGTGTTAGAAAAGTGAGAGCTGTCATATTTACTGGCGTAAGCGAGAGAAAAAAACAAAGCAGCACAAAAAGGAAAAAGAGAGAGATAATAGGAAAAGAAAGAAAGAAAATGTTGTACCTATAAATGATATGAGTTGGAAAGACGAGGTCCAATTGTACTACTGACTATTTAATGAATTATAGGTATCACGCCTAATGCTTTCTTTATCACACAGAACACGAGCTAAGTAGGATATGGTTGAGTTTTTGTACTTGCTGATGCGAGCATATGGTTTCCTATATAGGCTTCTGGTTTTGCCTGATGAGACGCAAGGGGAGAGTTGTGAGTGAAGAGGGTGGTGTGAGTTAGATAAAATGGATTTAACCCATTTTTCACATGAGTCCATGTGCCTGTCGACCAGAATAATAACAAGCTGGTTAAGTGGCACATTACTTACCCTGCTGACAACCTTTAACATCCCGTGTAATAAGGTATAGTCTTTCTTCAGTAGCCCGGGAAAAACTAAGGGGGAACAATAGAGAATAATAGGCAGAATGCGAGAGTTAACGAATTGTAGGAGTAAGGGTTGGGTAATACCAGAATGTTTTAACTTCTTGATGTAGAAGGTAGGACGGAATATTTTCTTAGAAATCTCCAAGATATGAGACGACCAGGAGAGATCAGCAGATGGAATGACGCCTAGGTATTTAATTTTCGACTTGGTTTCTATTTCAGTGCCACCTATGTTGCATACTTGAAGATCCCAGATTCGACTCTTGGAGTGGTCTTCGGAGTTCACAACTGAAGAGTCCCAAACTAGAGCAAAACAGGTGACCAGTAGTCAATTGTTAGGATTCTTCACGAATCGAAATCAGTTAGAGACGATTGAAAACCAGGGAGGACTAAGCAGCTGTTTCATCTTAGTTTAAAACTCTTTATCAGTGCACACCCACGGGCCTCCAGAAGTGGAACCCGAGATCTTCAAGTTAGGGGATCAAGCTTGTTGACCATTTAACCACCTTGGGATGACATTCAATGACCAATGAATTCTGACTTTGGCAATTTGTGATATAACGCCACCTTTGATGAGCATCCGCTTAATTTTGACATGACAGAATTCATGGACCACTGAATTCCGATTCAAGTGGTTAAATCGTCAACGAGTTTGGTTTCATAACCTGAATGTCCCTTGTTTTACCTCTTGGGGGTGAGTATGTCCTTGGGTACGTACTTCTGAAGAGTCCCAAACTAGGAATAACCAGTTGTTCTGTACTCCCTGGTTTTCAGTGATCTTCAACTGAAGTGAGTTCATGATGAAGTCTATATTAAAGACAAGATAATGACGCAATAATAATACATTATATAAAGATTACAACTATCTTTATGTAACACTTGCAACAATATAATGAGCTGATAAATTTGAATAAAAATTAAAATAAGTCAGATAACATAGAATAACCACTTTTGACTTGGAGGAGGTCATGTGAAGAGGAGATGAAAACGTGTGGGCAGACATGGAGCCAGGTGAAGACTCTAGCAGAGAACAGAACGCAATGGAGACGCACGGCTGAAGCCCTATGTTCCTGTAGGAATTAAAGGATACAATAATAATATAATAATAACCACTTTTGACTGGACAGTAGTTAGTAACTAGTTCAATGTGTCTAGTCACTTGTTTGGTGCAGATGTTTGCAATGTGGTCACCATTCTGGCGGCTTACCATCACGTTAAAGGCTTCCTTCCGATTGTCTTCAGCCATCTAATGTCAACCAATCACAGTGCAATGTGATGGCAAGCCACCTAGAATGGTGGCCAAAAAGCAAACATGACTGATAGATTTCATTCTGCAACAAACAAATGACTAGACACATTACACTAGTTACTAACTAGTGTTCAGTCAAATCATCCAATACAGTCCTTCAGGAAGCCAATCGCGGATCCCAATAGCTCAGTGGTAGAGTCTCTGACTGTAGCACTACTGGGTGACCGGGGTTTGAATCTCAGAAGAGGGGGACATGAGTTCCTTCAAAGTTGCAGGTACGCCTTTCTGACTGGTGAGTGCCAGCTAGCATGAAACCTAGTTCAAGCAATGCTTCCTGCCAATTGCTCCCAACCACCTAATTTCAATAGAATAACCACGTTGGATGAAGAATTAAAATCAGCTTAAAGGAAGCCCTCATGTAAGTTTTAATATTCTCCGTGTACGCGTATCATGAGGTTGCAGTCTTAAATAATTTTAAGTTATTCAAAAAATTTCAACATGACTAACATTTGAGTAATACTCAATCAGTTCATCATAGACTATTTAAAGTAAGGCAGGTTTATCGAGAATTCCGAGCACTGAAGGTAAAAGCAAATGTAATGTGCTAGGCAATTTAATCAAAGAATTTTAAAAGTACGGAAAATTCAACAGTCTATTTTCTGGAATTCTTTAAAAGAAGAGATTAATTACATATAAGAATAAAAGACACAGTAAATTGAGTGATA